AGTCAAGGCTAGGAGCGTTCGGCATCCCGAGCAGTGCCAAGGGAGAACGATGCCTGAACGTCGCGTGCCTCCACCTGCGCCGCGTCTTTGGGGACCCGGCAAACTCAGCCACCACGAGGAGAAGGCGAACGTGGGTGACTTCGCTGTCCGCAACGAGATGCGAGTTCCTTTGCTTTCAGGGGCGTTCAGAGTGCTTTCCTCGCCACCGTGCGCCCACCAACAGCGGGGAACACCAGTGGTGATTGGTGCTGTCTTCCTCGTTCCAACACGTTGGGGGGTTTGATCAACGTTTTCCGTTGTTTTGATTTCTGTGGCGTTTCTCCATGCCTTGGTGGCAACTAGCAATCTCCCTATCGGCAGGTCCGTTCTAACGAGGGCCATTGAGGTTCTAACAAGATGATGAGCGCGTTCGATGTGTGCCAAAGCATTGGTGTTTTGTGCTTCGTTTGTTTTCAGGATGCCATCAAGCCGTTGGCAGCAACCAGTCTGAACACACAAAAACAAGGTCCTGCAAAAGCATCGGCTGCTGTTACTGGTCAGAAGCGTAAGATGGCCTTTGCTCCTCAACTGCCAAACAACCCCGCTGCTTTGAATGCAAATGCTGCTGTGAAGAACTCAAGGTGCGTGATAGGCTGTCAAATTTTGTGGCCTTCTTCTAGTCCAGGTCACTGGTTGCATTTGCTGTGGACTTGCTTACCTCTGTGTGGTTCATGCCATTGGGCATTCTTGTATAATTTTTCGGACCCTCTTTCCCATCCCCCCAACTCCTGCCCCACTGCTGCACTCCATTGTTTTGCATAAGTGAACGCTCCTTTGTTCTGTCACCAAGACAATGTTGCTGTACTTACCAAGGCCATGACAAGTATCACTGCGCTGGTGTACAGTCAACAATAAGGCAGGTTGATGTTGCAGTTGAGAACTGATTGAACATGTGAATGTGGGGCTGTGTGTCATCAAGCGCCACTTGATGCTGAACACTGCTGGGCTCCAAAGACACTGTGCTTGCTGATCTGTGTGTCATTGCTGTGAAGGCAAAAGACAGCACCACCACCAGCAAGACCAAGGCCGAAAGAAATGTTCCTGAAGTCTGGTCCCAGTGCCCCTGCTGCCAGTCTGAACTTCTCCCTGAACCGGTAGGAGTGCAAAACATTGCCGATGGGTAAAACTGTGCGCTTCATGGCTTGTCACCAGCCCATCCCCAACTTAAGGTGATGGTAATGAAGCTTCCTGCCCGTAGAAGGGCAGGGGTTCGCCTCCACTGGACACTATCAATCAGTGAGGACTTATCATTGTGTCTCATGGCTTGTCCCCAGGCCCCAAGTGGATATGGCCAGTCTCATGAGGTACAAAAATCAGACTGATGGAGTACCCCAGCGCCGGCCCCTGGCTCCTCCTGCCCCACTGGGGCCAGTTGATGAGACAGGCTGGGGCTTGAGCTTGAGGGGCCGCGATGCTGATGCCTCGACAGCGGGGCGCAAGCCTGTGAGACCCCCTGTGAGATCTTCACCACAAAACGTCCCCTCATCGACAGAGGACCAACCACTGGCTGGCCAGCTCGATGTGCAAAACAAGCTGTTCTCGTATGGTGCCTTAGAGAGTCAGTGGATCCATCTCAACAGCTTACTGGAGGAAGCCATGGACAAGCAAAGGCGTTCGGTATGCACCAACATAAGTATACCAGGTCTCAATTTGTTTCTTTTTTTTTTTTTGGGGGAGCATTTCTTAATCAGGTGATTGCTGGCAGCTTGCGCCCACCATGTTCAGGGAGAATCTTCACACGCTGCCTGCTTCTCCAGTTTTCCACTTGTGCTGCTGACATAGTACTCATCATTCCAATGTCTTGTTTGTATCAACTTCACAGTCGAGTTTGCAGCTTGCACACATGCATTTGTGTTTCTTGCTAAGGCTGAAGATCAGCTTGGAAAAGGTGCAGTGGCAGTGTCCAATCTATATACCCAGGTTGGGGATCTCAAGCAGCAAGTGAGGAACCATCAGCTGGTCAAGATCGTGGACAGTGTGCTCCAAGCGCAAGTGCCAGCACTGGAGGAGTGGAGTAAAGTCCAGGTGCTGGGATGGAGATAAGACTGGCAGTGCATGGAGTGCCAACTGGGGAAAGGGACAGCCAATGGGGTGCTTGCTTCTTTTTGGACACCTCTAAAAGTCTTGCTGATGTTTGCGATACAGTTGCAGGTCCAGTCGTTTTCATTTTTGTTTGGCCTCTGGGAAGCAGTTGGGGCCATAGAGCCAATTTGCAAATGCGGAAATTGATTGGTTACACATAGACCCCAATGACTATCATGTTTCACCGCATTTGCTTGTGGCAACATCTTGAAGGCGCTTCTTCCCGTGTATATGGCTCTCCCTTCAAAATGTGACACAAGTGCGCAGCTGATGTTTCCAGTCCGCTGGCTCTCACAAGTATTTGTGTTGTAGGGTCTCCAACTGTTACTGCACGCTTTCTGATGCTGTGATATGCTCGAAATCCCCGCAATTATCATAAGCCAATTCTAGGCAATTGGCAATACTGGAAAATGCCCGTTGCTATCTATGTGATGCTACAAAACATGGAAAACCCCATACAAACGTTGCTACCAAAGAGACCTTGTCGACTCAGACCATTGGGCATCAAGCAGCCACAGTAGCAAATTGGCGATTGCACCCACTAAAGTCTTCAGACATTGGTGTGTCCCCGTGTTGATGCAGGACGATGTCCATAGCTCAGTGTCTTCCCTGGTTGATGCTCTGACGGCTTGTTTAACCAGTGTTCCTTTGGACGAGCTTGGGGTGGGCGTACCCTCAGCAAATTTCGAGGTGGAGCAGTTTAAGGCAAGCCTGCAAGACGCCGAGGAGGTGCTGAACTCTCTTCAAACAACAATCAAAAGCATTCCATGGCTGGTGCGTGAAAATAAAGGGGCACAACCTTCAAGCCAGTCCATGTGTGACACAGGGGTCCCTAAGGACTGTAATGGGTTGGACAGCTCCAGTGGGCTGGATAGAGCGACCAAAGAGGCACAGGACCTGCTGCAGACGTTGGAGGCGGAGGCATCCTATGTGGAGGAGTGCTGGGAACTGTTGGAGAGGCTGCAAAAGAAAGAACTGAGGGTGAACAGCCTGCGCTGTCAGATCATACAAATTGGAAGGGCTGGTAACAGGTGTTCTTGACAAATGCTAGCAGCCCTATTGGTGCGATTTGGGAGGTTCAGAGTAGCTCCTTTGTGCCGGATCCATGTGAGGTGATCCTGGTATGGGAGGAACATTGTTTTGCCTGTGAAACTACAGGCTCTGCGCACTGAGATCTGTACCATAGTTTACGCAGGCTTGACTCAAGAATACTTTCCAATCGCAGGTGGCGACCGAACTGCTGTGCTGTCACCTGGACTAATAGCATAACATGATATGTTAGTTCCCCACTCTTTGACAAGTTCATTGATATTGCATAATGGGCTTTGTCATCATTGTGGTGCACATTTCAAGCCGGTTGCCAGGAATGTATGTTATTGAACAGACCTGTTATTTGAGGGCCAAGTGTACCCACAAATCTAACCTGTTGTCTATGCTCAGCAGTTTTGTCTTTTGTGTGCCCACAGCCGTAAGCAATAGTGCTGGTCGAATATTGTGCAGGTTTCCTTTTCCTTCCACCGTTAAATGGAGGCCATCCAGATGGGAAGCTCATGGAGTGCATCCATCTGTAGTGGGTCCACAACTCTCACGTACCTACAGTTTGCCTTGTCCGACATTTCGTGCCACATTCAGAGACACAGGACGTCCACCCAGCCGATCGCCTGGAACCAAAGCAATCGATGTGATGCCACTTCTTCCTGGCGTTGTACCCATAGTCGTGTATGTGTGGCCCTATCTTTACGGTCAACATTTTTGCGAGCGAACCAAGCTAGGAGATCCTCATTGTGGCCCCATCTCTTAGAAGGGCATATTCCATAGGCCACACTGCAATATAAAACGGGCTGTCAATCATTGATGATTTGGACACCTGCATTCGGCCGTTCCCTGGGGCCTTGGACGCAGCGATGTGATCTCAAACCCAAGCTTTGCGACACATGGCCGCAAACTTATTGAGGCCAAGAATCCTTGCAGAACGCCTTGACCAGGATTTATGGTCCACGACATGGGAACCTGACATTCTCCCTGCACTAGCCTTCAAAATGGTCAGCTTGTCTGCAGCGGCCCCGCAGTGGTCTCAAGGGCAGGCTCTGTCCAAACCGGAGGAGCAATGGAGCACTGTGTGCGGCATAAAATTACTGGTTGCACCAAATCGGTGACTGCTTGCACCAAGTCACGTGCACACCATGTCCAACTCCGTCCAAATTGACCTAACCTAAAACCTAAACCCTAAACCCCAAAACTAGACCTGCCCTAATTCTAAACCTTACCCTAAAACTCACCCTAAAGCTAACCTAACCCTAAAATTGAGGTTAGGACATGGTGTGCACGTGACTTGGTGCAAGCAGTCACCGATTTGGTGCACGCAGTAATATTATTTCACTGTGTGCCCAGTACTGTGTGCTCAGATTTTAGAAGGAACACCAAAAAGAGGTTCTGGCCCGCTAGACTGCGGCCATGCCCTGTCATGACTCTGCGTTCGCTGCACCCCGCGCCACCCTCGTTCGCCTTTTGCCCTCTGCCGCGCGACGCCGGACGGCCTACGCGTCTCGGGCCGGCGCGTCGCTGCGGTTCCCCCCCGGCTGTCCCATCCCGCAGGCCACGCGTCGCGCGGCCTCTCGCCGAGCGCGAACCCAGCGACGTTCCGCTCGATGCGGAAGTCGTCAGCGCCGCGACGGCTGGCCCTTTGGATGCGCAGGCCCTGGCACAGCGCCCCGTGGCGCTGAAAGAGTGGGCGGTGACTTGCCGGGCACTCGGGTCTGGCGACCAGAGGGTGAGCACGCTCGCAATGAGCGTATTTTGATTTCTTGATTGGATGTTGGAGGTTGAAGATTGCGGCGGGCTGCGCACCCCGCGAGGGCCGCGACGCGTCCGTGCTGACAATGGAACTGGCCACTAGAAGGGGCCTGGATGTGATGAGGCCGTGCGTGTTTGCGCAGATTCTGCTGAGGAAAGGGGGGATTCGGGAGCCGACGTTCCGGCCGAAGGCACGTCAGTTTCTGCTGTTTCCGACCTCTTTTCATGCCGAGCCCGGCATGGTTAAAGAAAACTTCCGCGGGAGGTACTTCGAGGTATGCTGCCTGGGCCGGTGTCTCTGGGGATGGATGCCTGGCTGTGAAGGGTTGCTGTGTGGCTTCCAAATTTAGGGGTGTTTTGTTCTACCCTCCGCCAAGCGGCATGAACAGAGAGCAGTCTTGAGATACTCAGCAAAACTTGCAAAAGAAGCAACAGCACTGCAGTCACGAAGCTTCTGAACAAGATGCCAGTTGAGTTAGAGTAACAATTAATGAAACACAACTGTTTGTTGCTGCACCCACAAGGGATCTTTTGACTGGGAACAATAGTGTGGGCAGATTGAGGCAAATATGATGTGGAATTCTACCAAGGCTGGTGATCAGGGCACAAATGAACTAGTGTCCAAGAGAGTCATAATAAAGCAAGCTTTTGTCGTCCCTAATCTCTTTGCCATGTAGAATTTCTGGCTGGCATGGCACAACGCTTGATCAGGACGTTGTCCTATCTTGTGATGTGCCCTCACAGTATATGTGCATGGATGCACACTACTCACCAGCTGCGGCTGACGGTTTGTGAAGAGATACCAGTAATCTGTCGTTTATACCTTCAGAGCTCTATTGCACCTTCAGCATGGAGTGTCAGACAGTGTGCAGTGGGTTTGCAGCAGACCATGCATTGCCTGCATCGCCAGAGCAGTGCTTCGCACAGTGCCAGTGGTTGTCACAGGCAGATCAACTTGGGGCTGGCACAGGCTGCAGAATGGTCTTGTTTGAGGCAGAGCACTCCCTGTCAGCCTTGTAAGCGAAACATTCCCATTGGAATCCTGGCCAGTTGAGAATGGGTGGGCTTGGCAGATTGGGAGTGAGCATCACCAAACATTCCATTATGGGCTAACTTGTATAGGAGTCGTTGTCTGCGCAAGGGGATGGGCATATTTTGCCCATTCAGCACTTTGCCCTTGTGACTGGTGCCTGGGCAACCAAGGACCCCCACATTCTAGCCGTCTTGGAAGACTTGCACATTTGGACTGATCAATACATTGAAGGGCGGTTGAAGTGGCGCTCCAGCCAGCCCCTCACTGTGCTGGAGGTTCGATGCTACACATTGCCACAGCCCAAGGCACTGGCGATGAGGGAGGACTTCTCTGGGTGCTTCTCCTGGGGTGAGCCCAATATTCACACATTACAAACACATGGCACAGGACAAGAGGGCAAACAGAGAGTCACAATTGAAGCTGTGTTGTTCAGTCTTGCACATCTGCTGGCATGCTCTCATGTGCAGAATGTGGTATCCTCCACAGTGCTGCCTTGCTTAGGGAAGCAGGCATCCCAGCCAACTGGGTATCAGATGTGTATGTGTGTGTATCGTTTCATGAAAACAGGCCCCCTGCGCAATCCAGTCACTGACAGGAATTGGACAAAGGCTGTCCATGGTGCCAGGCCTCCCCTGTGCATTCGATGACTGCATTGCTTTTCAGATGGCAGCAGATTAATGTGTGGTCTGGCAGCATGGCAATACTGATTGGTTTCAACATTTGTCTGTGGTGATGTCAGTGGACTTGCCACCCAACACTGTAAACATTGATGACATCCAGAGGGGAAAGCCAGCTGTGGATGCAACGACATTTGAAAAAGGGCAGTTACAGCTCAGAGACCGGCTTCAAGACATTGTGATGGAAGCTGTTGATAACTGAAGCATTGCATCTTGGCTTGGTATGGTGCAGCCACTGTGTTATTTACCATTGCATCCTCAGACTGGCAGCACGTGCCCCCGCTGTGGGCAGCAGCTGATCTGGGCTTTGGAGGTTTGACTTTGGGAGGATGTCAGACAGAGCGCTGCGAAAAATGCCTAAATGGTAGCTGCAGACCTAAATGCAATTTGCGGTCGCGAGACAGACTGCGGATGCACCTTTGGGAATGTGACATAACGTAATTTAAATGAAAATGAGGTTGGTGGGGCTAAAGGCGTCCACGATGGGGAATTCGTCAGACCTACAGAGTAGATCTCCCATTTGTACCTGGCATTCCGTCCACCTGTTGGGCTAAGGTCTTGGGAAGCCAGCGCAGGCGTGCAACCCCTGTTGATGGGATATTCCAGCCTGTCTGTTTCATTTCTTGGCATGTTCCAAAGGACTGCAGAACAGTGCAGCCATCAACTTCGACGACCAAATTGGGGTACAGTACTCCGGGCTTTGTCATTTTGTGCCATGTGTTGCTGCATCTATTTGCAGTTAAGGATTGCGTCTTGTGAGGGTTTTCCTATGCATGATATTGCTTACGATATTTACCCATCTTCAACGGGGAATGAAAATGTTTAATTTGTGTGATTTGGTGATAGCATTTCACTGTGTCCAATTCTTTGTTGCCACTCCATTCAGTGACACTTGAGAGTTAATCACAAGTGAAACTGTATCTGGGGCCTTTCCGTGCACTAACTGTGCTGGCGCAGCAGTTGGGCTGAAGAATTTCCAAGGAGGAGCGGCTGATCCGCGTCAAATCCTACCCCTCGCCGACTTCCCGTGTTGGAACACGACTGTGCCCATTTTTGTCGCTTATTTTCGTTTTGTAAGGTGTTTAGCTGATAAGGATTCTTGCAATCATTCAAAGTGTGCTGAACTCTGGACGCCAGCAGGGTGCAGGAAATGCGCTTCCTGGCGGCTCCACAGCGAACGCACATGGCTATGTTACTTGCCCGAGTTGCGCTTTTAAATGACTCAGTCGACAATGTCAACTCGATGTCGATAGTCGTCCTCTGGCCCAGGTCAACATCTCCAAGGACGTGGGAAATCCGTAACAAGAGCTACTCCATCCCAAAGTATCTGGGTTGCAGGACGCCTTTAAATCGCGGAAGAAATTGAGATGACCCGAGGATAGGCACCTGAATGAGAAGTTTCCATTGGAAAATATAGGTACAGGGGTGGTGGTGACAGGATGTGAAGCAAGCCAAGGGCGAGTGTCGATCAAATTTAGCACAACATGGGACGTGGGATCCGCTCACTTGACATCCGTCTCCCCATTATTTAGCGCAACCGAATCACATCACATCACACCACATCACCGGGGAATCCTGGCGCTGCACGCAAGCAGAGCCAATCCCCTGGCATACGATTTTAGGATAAGACCAACCTCACCCAGTCAGGAACCTTTGAAGGTCAATGCATCCCAGGCACTTTGCACGCGGATATTGCACGAACTTCAATCTCGGAAATATTCAGGAATTCCCATGAAGCAACAGGACTCTTCCAAGCAGCAATCAAAAAGATCCCCATCTCTCGGTCCATCTCACTCAACAACCACAAGACCCACAGATTGCAGGCCGTTTGCCTCAAATTCGAATCTTTGATTTCTTGAATTTCAGGCTGGAAGCCCTCAATTCACACATCCCCCACCCTTCCACCTCCCACCCATAACCATGTGTGCAGGAATTTTAATTGCAATCTTTTCAAGCTCTGAAGGACTACATCCTGTGGAAAAGTCACATGTTTGTTATGGGTTCCAGTCTCACACACAAGTGACACACGTGGTTGGACGACACAAAGTGTTTGGCTGTCAAAATTTTGCTTTTGCGATGTGTACGAATCTTGACATTTTCACTCTCTCATTTTGCCAGACTAGTGAAGGTACGATAGTTCAACAAATGAATGACAGGTTGTGTTTATCATGCACAAGGAAGAGAGAATGCGCACCATGATACGGCCACAAGTGGCATCGCCCATATTTTCGGCAGTATCAACTATGTTAAATTCGCCGTTAGTCATGAAGCTATGTCACCCAATGACTGGCTCATGACTAGCACATGGCGACTGACTGGGTGTCACTACACCATAGAGTCAGCATTGACATGGACAGCTGCACAGCGTTGCTAGAAAAGCGGGGAAAGCACGCTGATGGACTTGCTTCGATATTAGAAAGTGGCAAGGCATGTAGAAGGCGTCATACAAAAGGACAGAGTAAAAGACACATTTTAAGGGTTGGAATAGGCCAGTATAGTTCAATGCACTGGTCAAATCAACTTGCAAAATAGGATGTGGAGACAAAAATATACTTTGTAGCACTTGCCCTATGAAATTGGGCATTTATGAGACCGTCAGAGCTGTGAAAACCCGAAAAGTGGGGGAAATGCTGTCAAAATTTGACTAGAAAACAGCACGTTTTACTGCAGAAATGGCGGACAGTCGGGGCATAGTTTTGGGTAAAAAGCTGGCTGGGAATATGGGCGTAACACTGCCAAAAGTCGGTCAGCATGTGCAGCTAATCAATGGGAGTTTATTGAAAAAACGGGGACTGATTTGGATAAGAATTGAGGAAGTTATGGAGCAGAATAGCGCTGTGATGGCGGCTGCCATCAGGCCGTCAATATGGTCATGATATATGATCATTTACAGTCGAATGTACGCTGCTCTCATAACCAGCGCATTGGGTTTAGCTAAGCAGTTGCAAAGTGACTGTTGGACCCCACGTTTTCAAAGGGTTATTGTCATGGGCGCTTGGAAAAAACTAGAAAATTGGCTCAGCGTGTGTAAATCTATACTTTAGGCCGTTTTTGGGAGCTGGCAAGAAGCGAGGAATGTGCTGTAAAGTTCCTGTCACGCTGACCTGATGAGTAGTGCTTGAATTATGGCAGTAACACGTTGGGATTATGGGGGGCCGTTTGAGTAAAATGGGACACCTCCATTTCCAGTGGTTTGGTGTCCGGTCGGTGCAAGTTGGGACCATCGGTCAGCCATAATTGAGACTAGTGGTTGTAGTGAAAGAGTGAGACGTCGAAAGGAAAAATGGCACAGTTGCTTGGTGTACAACTCCTTGCAGCCACATGCAGTGTGACTATCTGCCTCTGCCCGTGCGTTCTGCAGTTCCCAATGTACTGGGGAACCGTGGGACGCACCAAGGGACCCTGCATCCCGTACGGGAGGCGTGGGGATGAGCCCTGAGGACCCCAAACGTTTATGCGTGCGCGCAAGCTCTGTCGGGACAGCCCGAGCAGGTGGAGCGTGGCGCGGTAGTCAGGACCCCGCGGCCCTTCGAACGGTGGCAGAAAACGAAGGGGCTGGAACCAACCTTGTGCATCCATTGAAATGGCTGTCTTTGGCGGAGAGGAGGACATGGATGCGAACGCCGGGGAATGGACGCCCCGTTTGGACGCGCCGAGCCGATGGGAACAGCGCACTCTTCGGAGCGCTGTAGCTGGTTTTGTTGGTGCGCCAGCCAATGTGGACTCAACCGAACGGGGAGGGACTTCCATCCCCATGGGCGAGGCTGGCATTCCCACATACCTGGCGGTGGCGTTTGCGGCGAACTCGGCAGCCATTGTGCCTTCGATTGGAGGCTTATGGACTGGCCGCCGTCCCCACGCCCAGGTGGGCGTTCGCCCTGCGCCAAAACATCAGGTGCCTGATCGAAGGAGACCGTGGCCTTTGGTCACCTCTCCGGGAATGCGCCTGGCTTGCCGCGGAGGGTGACCGAGCGGCGAAGATGCCGCGCCCCTTTTCTTGGAAGTCGGAGGGCCCGCCGACCTTCATGGCCGAGGGCGCGGCAAGCATGCCGGTGAGCTACATTCTGCACTCGCGGGAGGTGCGATGGGAGCTGCTGGCCGCATCCAAAACGAAAGTTTGGATCGGCGTGAACGGCGAGATGCCTCTCAAAGATTATACCGAGGGGGCTTGGTTTTCGGAAGGTTTGAGTGCTCGCGAAGAGCTGGATGCCCAGGCGAGTGAGCGAGAGGCCTTGCGCAACCGACTGCCCGCCGATTGGAAAGCGCTTTACGAGGAAAAGGTCAGCAGGCGGGTTCGGGATGGAGAAACCGAGCGGAATGCCCATTGGTTTGAGGCGTGGGTGTTGCGCGCCACAGTGAGGGGGCACGCAAAGGGGGTGTTTGATAGGGAAACTGGTTGCCCAGTGCGGGCACTCGAAGGCCATTAGTCCCGGGACCCAACACCGGATCCCAAGTACTACGTACTTGGGACCACACCCGGGCACCAGCACTATAGTACTGGCGGCCACCGCCCTGGTCTGGGTTATTATTATTATTGTTAGAATACGATATCCGAAGTCCCATCAGACCGGATATCGTATTATTGCCCCATGTACCGTCTAAACCAATACATCACTCCCCCCCCCCCTTAGTCGCGACCCACGACGATTGGATGTCCGAGAAAGGCAGGAC